GCATGTGGGTGCCCAGAGTCGCCTAACAGCTGGCTGGCCTGTGCGCGTCACTGAAAGTCTGTGCCCAACACCTGCAAATGGACGGCAGGAGACTCCTTTCATGTGTGGGGTTTCATTTGCCGGCGGACTTTCCTTGGACTCGTCCTGAAAGGCATTTTCCTGTAATGTCGCTTTTTAATAGGAATTTCCCAGCAGCCATTTCTTTCCCCCCATTACCATCCCTCTTACCTCCTTGGCCCTTTCTGCTTCCCTCCTTCCTTTTGACTTCAGAATCCTCATTTTGTTTCTGAACGCCCGGTGCTCTTGGCGGGCATTGGACTCCATGAAGCACCCCTGCGTGGCGGGGCCCCGGGCTCGCCTTCTCACCGCGGCCTGCTTCACCTCACTCCCTCCGCTCCCCTCTAGCTCCCATGGCACTGTTCCCCCTTTCTGCGTGGCTCAACAGTATTCCGTCAGGTGCACAGACCACGTCATCTTCGTCCAATCCTCCTTCAGTGGGCGCTTGCTGTGCTTTCACGTCCCAGCAATTGTACCTCTTGCTGCAATTAAACATTGCAGAGTACATGATTTTGTGAGTTGGTGATTTTGTGTTCTTTGCGTAGATGTCCAAAGGCGGTATGCTATTTTCATGTTTCGTTTACTAAGGTCAATCCAGATCGCTTTCCAGAATGTCTGCACCAGTTTCCACTGCCGCCAGCAGCGCAGGAGAGCTGCTGCTCCTCCATGTCCTCTCCCGCCGCTGTTGGGGTCCTTCTCACACGTGCTGCTCTCGTGGGTGTGAGATGACACCTCGCGAACCTGCATCTCTATGGTGGCAGCGCTGATGACTGCCTTTCCATGGCTGCTGACCTTCTGGAGCAACTCTGCGGTGAACTGTTCAGTTCTGCTACCCACTTATTCTTTGGTTTCTGTTGTCGAAGTGTATAAGTTCTTCGGATATCATTAACCTTTGTCAGTTAGGTGTGTAAATATTTTCTACTATTCTGTACCATGTCTTTTTAATTGACTTGTATTTTCTTTTGTTGTGTAAAGGTTTTTTAACCTGAGGTAATTCCAATTGTTTATTTTTGCTCATTTCCCTTGTGATAGGGGTTGAGTGACTAAAAAATCTTCATCACTGATGTCATAAAAGATATCGCTAATGTTTTCTTCTATGTATTGTATTGTTACAGTTGTTCCAACTAAGGCTCTAATCCATTTGGAGGTTATTTTTGTGCATGTGGCTGGAGAGTGATGCAACTTCATTCTTTAATATATGTGTGTCCAGTTTTCAGAGCACCATTTGTTGGAGAGACTCTCCTTTCCCCATTGTATACTCATGGCGGCTTTATCATTGATGAAGTATCCATATGTAAGTGGATTTATTTCTGGGCTTTCAATTCTATTCCATTGATCCATGTGTCTATTTTTGTGCCAATACCATATTGTTTAACTTACTGTTGCTTTGTTGTATAGTTTAAAGTCAGGTAATGTATGCTTCTATTTCCCTCCATTTTTCTCAGGATTGCTTTAGCTATTTGAGGCCTTTTATGGTTCCATATAAATTTCAATATTTTTGTCCAATTCTTTATAAAATATTGCTGGCATTTTGATGCAGAGTGTATTAAATATATACATATATATAATATTAGGTAGATAGTCAACTATTCTTTACTATTTAACCACATGTTTACCATCTATAACCAAAGATTAAGGTTCCCCTCTACTATCACGCTTCTTCAGATTGAAATACCTTCTTTAGAATTTCTTTTAATGCAGTGGTCCTTATTTCACCTTCATTCTTGAAGGATGTGTTCTCTGAGAACACTGTTCTGGGATGAAAGGTATTTGTTTTCATTCACTTTATTTAATATTTTATTTATTTATTTATACAAGCACTGGGTACAGTCAGAAGCAAGGGGGGAGGGGGGTGCAAGAGAGTTCACCAGAGCCAGAGCGGGGAACAGTACAGGCAGACGGATGAAAATACACTGCTGAGGGGAGCAGCGGGCGGCAGGAGAGGTCTGCGCACCATGTGGGATCTTTGCCCGGCGGCCAGGGATCGAACTGGCACTGCAGCGCTGCAGAGGCTGCGGGCAGCTTCGCAGCCCAGCGCTCAACCGCTGCGCCACCAGGGGAGGCCCCTGTTTTCATTCACTTTAAAGTTGAATTTCACTGTCTTCTGGCCTCCATTGTTTCTAGTGAAAATTCTCATTGATTCTCTCCTATATTCAATGCTTTGTTTTGCACAGACTGCTTTTTAGGAGTTTCTCTTCATCCTCGATTTTCAGTAGTTTTGACTACAGTATGCCTGAACGTGGTCTTACTTTGTGTTGACCATTATTTCCTCTGCTATATTATGCAGCCATACCCTCCTTGGGATTTATCCCAAATAAAGGAAATTTATGTCCATGTAAACACTTGTACGTGACTTTCCATAGGAGCTTTATTTGCAATATCCCCAATTTGTAAACAACCCAAATATTCACCAAATGATGAACGGCTAAACCCATTATGGTACATTCATGCAATGGAATACTACTCAGCAATAGAAAGGAATGCACTGCCGAGAATGCGATAAAATGGATGAATCCAAAGTCATTTTGTTGAGTGAAAGAAGCCAGATACAAAAGAGCACTTATATGATTGCATTTATATAAAAATCTAGAAAATACAGACCACCTTGTAGTGACAGAAAGCAGGTTGGTGGTTCTTGAGGATGTGGGGCCAAAAAGAGACAGGAGAGAGGCACGAGGGACACAAGGAGATGGATGTGTTTATTCCCTTGATTATGTGCTGGTTTCGTGGATGTATATGCACCTGTTATATGTATGTCAAACCTTATCAGATTGCCTAGTTTAGAGATGTGGAGGTTATCGTATGTCACATACACCTCGAAATATCTAATTTTTACAAGAGAACATCTACAAGTAAATAATAAAAAGACAACGTCATAAAAATAGGCATAGTAAAGAGAAACTTTACAAAGGAAGACAGAAATGGCCAGTGAGCACATAAAAACATATTCAACATGATTAGTCATCAGGGAGAAGGTAATTAAAATCACCAGATACCACTTCACACCCACTTAAATGGCTAAAAATAAAGGCTGACAACCCAAAATGTTGAGAACCATGAGAAAGAAAAGGAACTCTCATATGTATCTGTTGGGACCTTAAATTGTACAACCACTCTGGAGGATATTCTGGCAGTTTCTTCTAGGTACTTTCCAAAGTAAAATGAAAGTGTCTCTGCACATAAATTTATACACTAGTGTTCAGAGTAGTTTTATTTATAACATTCCAAAATGGAAACAGCCCAGATAATAAACTGGTGAATGAATAAACCAATTTGATAATCTCCTACAATGTAATACAACTGAGTAGCAGAAGAAAGGAATAAATAACACATTCAACAACATAAATTTTAAAAACCATCATATTGAATGAAAGAATCAACCCACGAAAATAGCACATACTACATGATCCCATTCATACAAAGGTGTTAAAGAGGCAAAAGTAACCTATTGTGGAAAAGACTAGAAGAGAGCAGGACTGGAGCACGAGCCGACCTGGAGTGGGCACAGGAAGCTGATGGCAGTGACAGTGTTCTGTATCTTGACAGGTGCTTGGAGCATGCGTTTGTCAAAAGCCACTATATGAGGCAGTTAAGGTTTGTGTATTTCACTGTCTGTAAGTTTTACCCCCCTAAACGAAAAAGAACAGCAAGCAGGTCCTGATGTGTATCTAATGGTAATGTATAAAAAAGTGTTTTGACATGAATGTGCTGATGTCTTCCAGTTTGAAATGCATCCATAAAATCAGGATGAGCGCGCATCAAGCCAGAATAGTATAATGCTAATTGTAGAATATTGTTGATTGGTAAGTGTGTTCAAATATTTCCATTGATACGTATGTTGCAAAGTTTTCATGAGTAAATGTGGAAAGCAAGAAAAGTTGGTAGTATAACATTGGTATAAGAATATCTAAGCCGTCGGTAATAATTGTTACTAATAAAGCATTAAATGGTTATTAGTGGGAAAAAATGAAGAGAAAATGTCGAGCATGTCCGCCCGTCAATGTCAGCGCCCAGATTCCCGTCCAGCGGGCCCGCGTCTCTTTGGCGCTCCGCCCAGAGCTGCACCGTTGCTTTGGATCCTGGGCTTTGCATAGTTGTGCCTGCCAAGGGATCCCTGCACTTGCTGCTGCTTTTGCCAGCGGCTGTTCTGCCCTGCGGACTTCAGCCGTCTTCACAGAGCTGACACGCGCTTGTCATCAAGTTTCAGGTGAACCGTCGCCTCCTTGCAGTCCCCCACGGGCCCCTCCTCAGCGTCGGCCCTGTCCATGTTTTCCGTGAATTCTATCACCCCTGTGTGTTTGCGTTGATCCTCATTCGTCGGCGTCTTCGTTGGGAAACGGGGATGTCCAGAGAGCACCCGCGGGCTTAGCACCCTGCAGGGCGGGAACGGCCTCTTCGGGGGTTCGTGGAAGTGGCTGTCACTTGCAATCTAGCGCGACATGCGATTTTGAAGCGAACGCCAGTGCGTTTCCCTTTCGCCCAGGCCCGCACCGCGGGTGCACGCTCACAGCACTGTCACCCCCGGACGCTCCCGGCGCCAGGGCGCACCCCGAGGGCAGGGCTTCGGCCAGGTTTTGCGTAGCGACTGGCCACGCGAGGGCTCGCCACGGCGGTGGTGACTCGCCACTGTTATCGCCCACCCGCTCCGGCCAGACGCGCGCCTGGGAGGCCCCCCGCCCCCGTCCCCCGCGCCCCTGCGCCCCTCCCCTCGCATGCCCCCCGCGCCCGCCCCGCGCCCGCCCCGTCCCTGGCCCCGCCCCCCGCGCCGGCCAATCGCGTCCGGCGGGCCGGGCGGGGCCGGGCGGGGGGCGGGGCCTCGCGTCCCTCTACCCCCGGCGGCTCCCGCGGCTCCGGAAACGCGGCGCGGGGCTGCTGGGCTCCTCGCGCGGGCGGCTCCGCGGCGCTTCCTGCCACGCCGGGCCTCCCAGGGCCGCGCCGGCGCTGCTCCGCCGAGGGCCGCGCATCGGCCGCCACGGACCAGGGTGAGTGTGCGGCCGCGGGGAGCGGGCCCGGGAGGGCGCGGCCTAAGACGACGGTGCTGGGGAGTGCGCGGCGGGGGGCGGGAGGGAGGGGTGGCGTCGCGAGCCCCCGGGAAGCTGCTGGGCCCCGAGGCGCACTGGAGGGATGTCGGGTCTCGGGTGTTGGGGACGAGGAGGCCCGAGGCCTTCCCGCGGCACTGGGCGAGCGGCGAGCTGCGGCGGGTAGCGGATGTGCTGAGACTTACCCGCTTTTGGCTGGAGCGTGGGAACCTATCAGTGTGGGATGCAGGGCGCCTCCCCCCAAGAGCGTTGGAGGCCGGGGGGGGGGGGGGGGGGGTGGCGTTGGAGGGGAGTTAAAGGGCTTTTGCCCAGGCTGCGGGAGGGCCTGAGCCTCCACAGTTAGGGAGCGCCTGGTGGGTGAGTTGGCAACTGATTCGGCTGGTGCAGTCCCTCTGCCTTTTCGGTGGGGGTCGAGCCTCACTTGGGAGGAGGATGGGGTGGCCTACAGTAGAAGGGCTAGGCCGGAGCAGAGGGGGATAGTCCTGGCTGAGTGAACTCAAGCTCAAGGCCCTGGTTCCCAACAGGGATTTCTCTGTCCCCCTTCTCGGGGTCACCATCTCCCCCTCCAGTGCCCCCGTTAAACTCTACAGTGCCTTCTCTAGTCTATATTTGGATGATTAATTACAGGTCTTGTTCCATCCTCCCAGCACACACCCACCCGCATCCCAAAGCCCATGGCCTCTTTCACACCCGGGCACCCCCACCCTGGCCCTCTTCCCAGAGGTCCCACCCTGTCCCCTCCAGCCAGTGTTGACTTGCCCGGCTGCTGGCCCCTCCGGGCACTTTGGTCAGTACAGATTTTTCTTTTCCGCCTCAGACCCGACATTTTTCTTTTACCAAAGGATTTCATTGGCATTGCTGGAACAGCACCCCCTCTAGGTACTAAGGCTGCTTCACTCCTCCTCTTGCCCCTCCCCCTTTGGGCCTTTAAGCAGAAGCAGCTTGCATGGCACCAAGTATGGCCCAGCGCGCTCCCCCAGATGTTGTGGGATGGACATTTACAATCCTATTGAACAGTGAGTTCCAGCCTTGTGTGTGACACCCCTTGGAAATCACTGGAGAGCAAGTTCTCCCAGAAATTGACCATTAGCAAAGAGACAGGATCCCATTCTGGAGCCTCCTAGGTGAGAATCCTGTCAGCTGAGTACGAGCAGCCAGGCGACCTCCTGATTGTGGACAGGCCCAGTACTGAGGAGGCACAGTCCCACATCCTGGTCCCTGAGTGCAATTGAAAATGCATATTCCTTGGCCCCACCCACACCTGCTGCTCTACCCCTGCAGTTCTCAGCAAGCTCCAAGGCAGGGTCAAACCTCCCGCTCCAGCCCTGGCACTGACGTGCTGGCCACCTGCATGACCCAGCGCCCCTGGGTTTCCAGAGCGCCCCCCAGTAGACTCCTCCAGGGCAGCGTAACCTCAACAAAGCTCTACTTACAAGTTATTTTGCTTTTTAGTAAGCTGCCATGCATCGTCTTCGGAAAATGGGAACATAAACCTTTACTCAATTAAGTACAACAAACACTACAAAATCCCCTTCTGGTCCACCTTCTGGCTTTTTATAGAAGGGAAAGAAAATGGAAAACCTAAACAGAGAGGGACAGGTGCCCAGGCAGAGTGAGAGAGGAAATCTGGGGAAGCGGGCACAGATGCCTCCCCACCCACATACACAGAAAAAGACACAGACACAAATATCCCGAGAGAAACAGACTTTCCTGGTGAGACACCCTCTCTGTTGGCCCTTGAGGATTCTGCCACTGCTAGTAGCAGCATACAGAGTGGGCCCACTTCAAGCCAGGGGACCGTCCAAGCGGGGTGGGGGAGTCTCAGCAGTGGGTATTCAGTCACTCCTGCCCTCTGGAAAGTCACTCATGGCCCAACAGATCTGCGCCAGGAGAGGCACCCAAGTCGGCTTTTGTCCACCTCGATTCTCCTTCCAACAGGGAGACTTGACCTGCCCGACTGATCGCACACAATTGTTCTGAGATCCCACCGGCCATCCCTTGTGTCTCTTGTAGGTAAGTCTGGGTGTCAAGGGACCTGGTATGTGGCCTTAGAGCTTCTGGAGGGCCCCCGGACAGGGATCAGGATGGCGAGGTCTTGTTTCTCTGCTGGAAGTGCTTATATCTTCATGAATGTCAGTGTCCAGAGGCACTGTACCATCTCAGCCCAAAGCCAGCTCTTGATGCAAGTGACGGGAGAAGAGAGCCAGTAAGGAGATGCGGGGCTTGGGTGCCATGGGGCGGGAGAGACGCCAGAGGCTGTTCAGATTAGACACTGACGACCCTTGGGGCGTTTTTGCTCTGAGCCAAAGCCCATTGAATCCTAGGTGCCGCCTATCGTCTGCCAGGGCCTGAGCACATTCTACTGTGGGTCCTTGTTTCCATGTTCCAGGGAGTCCAGGTGTTTCTGGCGGCTGCCAGATCCATCTAGTTTGGTGGCCCCACATCCCAAGGGAGAAGGGCCACGTTGAGGCCGCTGCTGGCCTGTTGATAGGGGCTCGGTCGAACGCTGACCTCTCAGGCTCAGAAGCAACCTCACGTGTTTTAGAAAACACTTTTCGGGTTGGGGGCGCTGGATGGAGTCACGATTTGCCTGTGTTCCTGAGATGGCTGCAGTGTCTGTGGCCCTTGGCTGGGTCCTACATCCACCCACCACCACCCTTGGGAGGGCCTTTGCCCGCTGGGAGTGTAGACTTGTCAGGCAACACTCAGGTCCCACTTAAACAAGGGGCATCCTGCTATTTCTTTTAAGAGGCGCTCGGTTTCCCTTCGTCTTCCCTGGAGCTTCCGTTTGCCAGGTAGGTGCAGGAACCTGCCCTCCCAGACTCGGGGCTATCTCTGCGATGAGCGAGGCTGCCTTGCGTTCAAGGTCAGCATCATCCTCTGCATCCACCCAGCTCCAAGGCGTATCTTGGTCTGCCTGGAGTGCTGTGACCTTGACCCTCCCAGGCCCACTTTTGGAAGGCAGTGCCGCCTGCGTCTGTCACAGCAGCCAGCTTCTGTTGCAGATTAGTTCCACCATTTTAAAGTAGAGCGCTTGTGCAGATGGCTTCTGAGTGATCAGATGCTGCCCAGCACGGAGGACACGTTGCCAGCTGCGACAGAGGCCCAGGGCTGTGTGCATCTCCCCGCGGTGCTCCTCCATTGCGTCTCTGAAAGCTGCTCCCTGCGCACCTGGTTAATTCTATCAAGTTCCCGCTTCCTTTTGTGGAGGCAGGGCTGCTTTTTCCCTCCCATTTTTTGAGTTCCTTCTCAATGATCTCTGCGCACCTGTGGGCTCCATTACTGTGGGGAGTGCCCTGCAGTGCGCTGGGTTTAGCCCCCTGGGAAGCCGGTACAGGAAGGGCTGGGCGCTCCTGTTGCTACACTGGAGAGGATAGTTGTCAGATTCGTGGGGCTTGTGGCTCTGGGATTGCAACAGTTAATCATGCCAGTTAAGTGGGCATACTTGGCAGGGTCTGCTCCATTAAACAGAATGCTTCGGGTGGCTGGGAAGGGCTGTGGGAGGGAGGACAGAGAGCAACGTTTGTATTTATTGCATGGCGAGGGTCTGGGACAGCATGCTAATAGGGTGGTTTCAAGCCCCGTCTCAAAACCTGTACACACCGTGGGGCCCCACGCCTCCCTGACCTCCGGTGTGGCCTGCTGTTCTCTGGTGCTCAGAGAAGCCTTCACTCTTGGACCCCACAAACGATCTGAACCCACATTTGGCCTGCTTTCTTTGTGAAAAGAAAGTGCAGGCGGTGGCAACTGCAGGTTGTGATGAGGAAATTAAGTTTTGTGAAGGAAGAAGCACAGAGCCAAGTACCAGGTGCTGGTAAATGACATGCCCCTCCCCCACCCATTGATTCGGTCACCCCCACAATTTATCACATGCCCACTCAGTGCCAGGAACTGCTGTAGATACTGGGGTTTCGGGGGTGACCAAGAAAAAGGTGAGCCCTGCCCTGGTATTTCTGAGTTGCTGCTTCGCCCAGAGAGGGTTGGGACAAGCCATGCAGAGGACGCTTTCTGGGCAGTACGGGTCACCACCGCAGCCCGGCGGGGCTGGAGCGCAAAGGTTACCTGAGGAGGTGACGCTGGAGTGATACCTCGGTTCTTGGAAGGGGCCGTCTAGGCCTGTCTGGGACCAAAGGAAGGCCAGAGTTTCAGGCTGGAATGGCTGACATGGGACATGGGGTAGGGGCTAGACCTCATGGGTCGGGCCAAGGCCTGGGGGCAGCGAGACAAGGGTTGTGAGCGGCCATATTTCTCAGGAGACCAATACCTGCTGTTCTCTGCACTCCCTTTGGCGCCACAGCAGCCTTGTCAGTGGCAAGTGAACTTCTTAAATGAGTTGTATCAATGATCCACGGCCAGTTCGGTTTGTATTGAAAACCAAAGTTCATGCAGACAGCAAATTGCTCAAGGGTGCCTGCCCAGATGACAGTGGGACACAGGGGCCTTGGCTGGCCTTGCTTGCACGACAGGCCAGCACCGCTGCGGGGGCCTTTCTTCTCCTGAAATGCAAATCCTTGCGGAGCCATGCACCCTCTCCACAGCTGCTGATGTCTTTTTTTTTTTTTTTTAAGATTTATTTATTTATACAAGAACCGGGGTACAGGCCAGAGGCGCGGGAGGGTGAGAGGACTCACGAGAGACAAAGTGGGGAACAAAACAGGCAGACTGAGGAAATACACTGCTGAGGGGAGAGGCGGCCACGACAGGAGAGGTCTGCTGCGCCATGTGGGCGTCTCCGCGGCCAGCCAAGATCGAACCGGCACTGCAGAGGCTGCGGACAGCTTCACAGCGCTGCGCTCAACCGCCTGCGCCATCAGGAGGCCCCAAGCTGCTGTCATTTTTAATAAATAGTTTCTTGCTCTCTGCCCCGTCCACACAGGGTCGGAGTTTGGGGAAGTCTGTGGCTACCAGCCTGCACTGACCATCTATTGATTTTGTTTTTCTTTTCATTTATTTTTCCTTTAGGTTTTTTGTTTGTCTTGTATTCCTTGTTTCTACCACATGTTGATTTTGTACTCCACCTATCCAGTTTGCTTCCCACACCGAGTTCAATGATGGCTCTGGACTGCTGAGCCGCACCCAGCAACCCTGTTCTGCAGGCCCTGCTGTCAGTGCTTGTGCGTCGTTCTCCTTTGCCGTTCACCCTGCCCGTGTCGTTGTGTCACGGTCTCTGTCTACACCTGGAAACGGCGCGTGCCTGGCAGGGATCTGTCATCGGGCATTTTGCACCCCGCGCACCCAGAGTGCAGTTCTGCACACCCAGCCCGTGGTCACAGCTACGTCTTCTCCCGGTGAGGGGCTCGCAGCATCCCGCGGGCCTGGGCATACAGAAAACTTGCCTCATACGCTTTGCTCCTGCATGTGCTATTAACCCTACATGCCCAGGTATTCCCATTTCAGATGGCCAGCTGCTTTTCAAGATGGAAAGTCGAGCCACGTGGAAGTGTTCTATTTCCTCACGTGTTTGCGCCCTGGGGGCCTGCCTGCCTTTGTGCGGGCCCAAGCTTCCACGCGGTGCTCCCCTCACCTGAAGAGCTGTCCTCAACAGGACTTGCAGAGCGGGACTGCTCCCGATGGATTCTCAGCTTTTGTTTCTCTGAAAACTTTCCGTTTTGGCTACATTTTTGAAGGATGATTTCCTTGAATATAAAGACAGTTTTTCCTCTTGAGCTGTTTTAAAATGTCATTCACTTGTTTTTCCCTTGAACGGTTTTTGACGAGAAGTCGGCGATTGTTCTTCTCTTTGTTCCTCTGTCTAGCACGTCTTTCTTCCCTGTAGCTGCTGTAAGGTTTTTTTTCTCTCTCCCTGGTTGTCATCAGGCTGGTTATGCTGTGTCTCAGGATACCTGGATGATTTTTTTTGCTTCATTTTTTGTTTGCCTCAGGTTTTTTTGGTCATTATTTCTTGAGCAGTTATCTTTGCTCTCCTCTTTTTCTCGGATTCTGCGTGCACGTGGATTAGGCCGCTTTCTGTTCCCCCAGGGCACTGAGGCACTGTTTCTTCAGTAGCTTCTGTACTTTCTGAGCTTCCTTTGCGGTAGTTTCTATCATGGTGTCTTCCAGCTGCCTGGGTGTGCCACCGAATCTGCTGTTCCTGATACTCAGGGCGACTTCCATTTTGAATATTACAGTTTTCACCTCCAGAAGCCCCATTTGGTCCTAGTTTATAGCAGCCGTTTTCCTCATTATGTTCCTGCTTATTTTTCAGTACTTAACCATAAACTAGCTTTCAGCCTTATCTGTCAGAGCCATCAGCTCTCATTTCTGAGTGTTTTTATTGACTGTTTTCCCTGCTTCTTGGGGGCAGTAACTTTTGACCAGCTGTTGGGCGTTGTGGATATTATGTCATTGAGGTATGGGTTTTGGTGTGTGACAGTGCACAGTGTTGGATTTTGTTTTGCGAGGTGGTTATTCATGGAATGGTTTCATCTTTTTGAGGCTTGTTTTTAAGCTTTTCTGGAGCAGGTCAAGGGTAGCTGTGGCTCCAGGAATAGATCAGCCTTACTACGAAAGCATGGCCCTTGTGATTCTCTGCTGCTGCCCAGGTAGTCGCTGAGAACCCTTCAGCTGGCTGCTTGCGCCCATCTTCCTGCCAGGGTATGCCCTGGGAGTTGCTCAGCTTCCAGCTTCCTAGCTGTTCTTTTCACAGTCTCTTGGCGTTTCACCCCCACGCGTGTGCACATTATAATCAGCAAAGGCTGATGGGGACCCTTATGTCAATTTTTTCAGAGCTCTTTCTTTCTGAATAACTCCTTCCTTTCTGGAACATTGCTCTGTAACTTGCAGCTGCCCTGAATGCTGGTCTGTGTCTCTTCAGCATCATAAAGTCACCAAACTCTTATTTGACTTCTATTTGGTTCCTTCTTTGTCCACTTCCCCTACTACTTGGGGCGTGTTTCCTTAGGCAGACCCTACTCTGGCTCGTCACTCAGTCATCTTGCAAGAGTGATTGAAGATTTATTTTTTTTTAAGGTTTATTTATTTATTTATACAAGCACTGGGTACAGTCAGAAGCGCAGGAGGGTGAGAGAATTCACCAGAGCCAGAGCGGGGAGCAGAACAGGCAGACTGACGAAATACACTGCTGAGGGGAGCAGAGGGCACGGCAGGAGAGGTCTGCGCGCCATGTGGGACCCTCGCTGGCCGGCCGGGGATCAAACCGACACTGCAGAGGCTGTGGGCAGCTTCGCAACCCAGTGCTCAACCGCTGTGCCACCGGGGAGGCCCAGCAAGAGATGATTGAAGATTTGAAGTCAGGGGCCCAGTTTTGTCCAGAGGACCCAGAGGCCGCACCGGGCACTCATGACTCTTCACTTTCCTTAGCCCCACCTGCCTCCCTCCCCCATCCCCGCACTTCCCCAGGATGGAGCCCCAGGAAGACAGGTTTTGACAGGCCCTCTTGAGGTGCTGGGAGCCCAGGTGAGCTGTGCTTCCCTCTGCCTCAGCCTCTCACCTCAGTGCGGCACGTGGCAGGGCCTGCACCCCAGCACCTGTCTTCCCTCCCTCTTTCCTTCTTTCCTAGAATCTGCCGAGGAATGGCTGCCCGCTGGGCGTGGGGTTGCCGTCGTTCTGGCAGGGGGGCTGGGTTTCTATCTAGGGACATGACTGAACAGAGATCCCCTGGGAAGACAGTGGAAGGCCAGGCATCCGGCCCAGGTCTGCTGGGACTGGCCCAGGTTCTCTTTCCAGAACTCCTTGATGCTATGGTCAGAGTTCCATGTTAGCAACGCACCCCCCATTCCAGACCCTCACCTGTTGTCCCTGGCATTCCTGGGACCACCCTGGCCTCATTCTAAAGTGACTGGCAGGGCTGATTTTCCCTGCGGATTCTTTCAGGACTTGGTGACGTGACAGTGTGGCTTAGAAAGTACAGAAAGGGAGTGGCGGAGGCTGGACCCCGAGCACAGGGCGCTGGTGTTCCACAGAAATGTGACTTCTGTGGTAAGGATGCCCCTAACATCCCCACCGGCTTTGCCACTAGCTTCATAGCCCTGCACAGCTTGGAAGGACACGGCCCGCGGTGCTGGGACGGGCTGTGAGGAGCATGAAACAGCAGCTGCCGCTCGCATCATGAGGCAGCAGGGCTCCTCCCAGACACTGGTGGCTCAGAAAGGAGTCTCGAGATGAGAACAGACTCATCCCGCTTCCTTAGGATGTTTTTTAAACGCAGGCAATGCTGGGGACACGGACACTTCATGGGGGTTTCCTGTTGAGAGGGGTTCTGAGCACCACCAGGGGCTGCATGCGGGAGGTGGGCCAGATTTGGGAGACGCGGAAGAGCATGAGTGCAGGTGTGGGAGACATGAGGGAAGGATCACCCTCTCAGAACAGCCGCCTGCCCCTGTCCTGGGCCCAGAGCGCAGCCCTAGCCAGGTTGGGGCATGGAAACAGTTCCCCTTCCCAGGCCCTGCTCGCGCACCATGCCACTGTCGCCCCTGGCCACCGATGTCACCCGCATCCTTTTCCACTGCAGGAGCCCGGGGTTTGAATCCTGCCTCAGTCCCTCACCTGTGCCTGGGAGTTGCTGCCGGACGCCTCCCTTCCTGCGGCTCAGCTACGCATTCTGGTGAGTGGAAAGGGCACCTGAAGGGAGGCGAGGGACCTGTCAGGGAGGCCCTGCCAAGCTCTTGGGCTGTTGAAGTTGGGGTGGGAGGCCAAGCTGAGCATGGGGATGCGATGGCTTATTGCCACTCACCCAAGGAGAGACCTGCTCAGTACCACTTTGGTGTGCATCTGCTCACCAGCCCGGCAGACCCTGGCTTCCAGTTGTCTGGGCACCGGGCCTTGGCCCAGCCTGCGGCCGCAAAGCCCCAACGGTGGGCTGCGGTCACAGGAAGAAGGCCGCAGTCCCGAATGAGCATGCCTGCAGCCCTCCCAGCGGCAGCCTGCCCGTCTTTCTCTTTTCAGAGGCGCCTCGGCGGCCCGGCACAGGACGATGGGTGAGGATTCCCGGCCACAGGAGACGGCGGCCACCAGCTCCCCCAGGGCCGGAGAGCCAGGCCCCGAGGTGCAGCGGCCCGGGCAGTCGGCCGCGCGCGGAGCGAGCCCGCAGCAGCTGCCGGTGGAACATCACTTCGCGTGCAAAGAGTGCGGGGCCGCCTTCCGCCTCAAGGTCCTCCTGGTGCAGCACCAGAGGGTGCACAGCGAGGAGAAGGGCTGGGAGTGCGGCGACTGCGGGCGCGTCTTCAGGGGGGTGGCCGACTTCAACGAGCACCGGCAGAGTCACGTGGCGGCGGAGCCCCGGCCGGGCCCCAGCCGGGCGGCCGCGGCGCTGGAGACGGGCGAGCAGATGGAGCGCGAGGCCAAGCCCTTCGCCTGCGAGGAGTGCGGCCGGCGCTTCAAGAAGAACGCGGGCCTGAGCCAGCACCTGCGGGTGCACAGCCGCGAGAAGCCCTTCGCCTGCGAGGAGTGCGGGCGCGGCTTCAAGGTGCACACGCACCTGGCCCGCCACCAGAAGCTGCACGCGGCCGAGACGCCCTTCGCCTGCCGCGCCTGCGGCCGCGACTTCCCAGACCGCCAGGAGCTGCTCAAGCACCAGCGCGCGCACCGCGGCCACCCGCCCTTCGACTGCGACGACTGCGGCAAGTCCTTCCGCGGCGTGGCCGGCCTGGCCGAGCACCAGCGCATCCACAGCGGCGCCAAGCCCTACGGCTGCCCGCACTGCGGCAAGCGCTTCCGGCGCAGCTCGGAGCTCACCAAGCACCGGCGCATCCACACGGGCGAGAAGCCGTACGCGTGCGGCGACTGCGGCAAGGCCTTCCGCCAGAGCTCCAGCCTGCTGGAGCACCAGCGCATCCACACGGGCGAGCGGCCCTACGCGTGCGGCGACTGCGGCAAGGCCTTCCGCGGCCCGTCCGACCTCATCAAGCACCGGCGCATCCACAGCGGACTGAAGCCCTACGAGTGCGGCCAGTGCGGCAAGGCCTTCCGCCGCAGCTCGGGCCTCAGCCGCCACCGCAGGACCCACAGCAGCGCGCGGCGCTGCGAGTGCAGCCAGTGCGGCCGCGTGTTCCACCGGCGCTCGGCGCTGCAGAAGCACCAGCCCAGCCACCAGGAGTAGCCGGCGGCCGGGTCGGGCCCCGCCGACCCCTCCGGGCCCCTGGGGTGGGCGGCACCGCCCTGCCGCTGTTGTTTCCGCGTCGCCGGGAGCCCAGAGGGTGGGCAGAAGCCTGGCAGGGACGCGGGGGCAGCCTGGTCCTCTGTTTCCCGCCCCACCCCCCCAGCCAGTGAGGGGCGCAGGTGGCCTCCCACCTTCCTGAAGACAAGATCCCCAAAGTTTTTTGGCCTACTTGAATTTATAAATTTTTAGGGATGTACATAGAGTGCTCAGATGTCTTACGGTATTTAACTTACTCGTTTACTTACACGTACCTGTTGGAAACCGCACATGATAGAGAATAATATATTAATCTAGAAGACCTCCCTCCCTGTGCCCACTGAGGGCCGCAGGGTCCCATGCTTCCAACTCCTCACCTCGCTTCTGACTGCACCACCCCCACCCACCTCCAGGCCCCTTTGAGTCATCACGCACCTTCAAGGTGCATCTAGCGGCCTCGTCCTTCTGAGCTGTTGCACTGTGACAACCCTGCACCATGCCCTCACTAGAAATTTCTTCCCACACTTCAGTACATGTGGCATTAGGAAGGTTCTTTCGTTTTTGATGTGTCCTGTGACTTCACACCCTGACAGCCTGAGGCGTCACTCTCTTCAGTGACCTTCACGAGGCCTTCTGTGGTGCCTGCCCTTGTCCTGCGGGCTCCACTCCTGGGAGTGGTTACTAATTGGGGTGGGGTTAACCGCGGGGCCTGTTTTCTCATTTGCACATGTCCACTTGCACACACATGTGCGGCTGGCATCGCTAGCACTTTGCTTTAGGATCGAGGGCCTTGGCCTGGAGTGGCACGAGTCCATTTAAAAAGTAGCCGAGGGCACACCCTTGTAACAGCAGACGTCTGAGGACTCCCATTCAATGGGACACCTCTCCTGGGGAAGGAGAGCCTTTGCAGGTGTGCTGCTTCTGCATCCCTCATTGCCTACTCTGTAAACGGGGTGGGGATCACAGGACCTCTCTCCCAAGGGTGTTCCAAGGACCGGGATGCCACCCCTGGCACAGAGGGCATGCCCGGTAAAGGTCATCTGCTGTCATCGCCATCCATCTCGCTGCCACGGGGGCCCCACCACCTCACCTCTGACCCCATCTTCCATGCATTCATCTCCTTTGGCCCATCATCAGGTCAGGCCGCCTTTGGAGACCACCTCCCCGGCCCTTCTGCATCTGCTGAGCGCGCCGCCTTCTGTGTATCTGGTTACCAGGCTTCTGTGGCACGAGCTTTTGATTTCTCCATATCCAGGCGTCCACTTGGTCACTCAGTCTTACTTTTCATTCCTTCAGTACTTAAATAGGATGATGTTTTCTTCTTGAATTTTAATCACAAATGAAAAGTTGAACCGCCCTACCCACCGGAAGCTGGCAGCACCGGGCGGGCGGGCTGGTGGCAGCAGGCTGGAGAAGCGGGCTTGCTCCTCCTCCGCATTGTAGACTTCCATGTGGGCGGTACTTGGCTCTCCCACCTGGCCACTCGGGCACGGGGGAGAACCTTCCATTGCAGGCTGGCCGGAGCGCTCTGACTTTCTCATTGTGGCCCTTGCCACCCCTAGCACAGCTGGGCCTCCCCTAGATCAGGGGGTGTCCACACTCGGTCTTGACAGCCCCTGGCTGAGCTTTGGGCTCCTGGGAGCCTTGGCCATGCCTGGAGTGGATTCAGTGCCTGAGCAGCAGAGACGCCCCAGAGACATCTCAAACACAACAAGACTCACTGCTGCCAGCATGCGGGCTCACCCTCCCAGCCAGCGGCTCCGGAACTAGAAAGGTTGATTTAATGGCTTTCATTTTGGCACCTAGGGGGGCATTCACCCTCGCGTTCTAGTATCACTTCCTGTAGCCCCGCCTAAGATGGGCATCGGAGCATTAGCTGCAGCCCTCTGATGACGTGCATGTCACGGCAAGAGAAGCCAGCCACACTGAGCCTGGCTGTGATGTGTGACAGCTGTGCCCAAGAGGGGCACTAAAACAAGGGTTTGGAGGGCAAAGATGCCCTTCTGATGGCCTGTGTGGCAGAGAAATAGAGGCTCGTCCCCTGGGGCTGGGCTGTCTCTGCCAGCAGCCTCCCTCAGGAAGGGAGGCACAGGCACAGGCTGGCCAGGGATCTGGCCACACGAGGGCCGCAGTGTGCCTTCCCAGCCTCGCCTGGGGGACACTCAGGCCGGAGAGGCCCACCCTTCCAGCGGGACCACTGGGGCTGAAGCAGAACGTCCCAGCAGGCCCCCCTCCTAGAAAGCAGGGTCCCACTGGGACTCCAGTGACCTTAGCCGAAAGGGACTTCCAGGGCCACGGCGGTGGCCCTGCATCTCCACACTGACCACACTGGAGAGAAACCACAGCACTTGCTGCACAGTGATCCTGTTGCTCTGTGGCTTCAGTGGTGGCCAGTCTTCTCTGAATCACTTCCTTCTCGCATCAGTTTTCTCTTTCCAGCTGTTAGGCTGTGTGTGATCCAACCGACATGACACCCACGGGGCAAGGCTGGCGTCTTGACCTGGAAGTCCTCTGCCCTCGCCCTTCCACGAGTCTCTGGCTGAGTTTTCGGCAGGATCCAGACACAGTATTAACTGGGACCCTGGCGCCGCCCTGGTCATCGCTGCCCCATCTCTCCCAGCCAGGAGATAGCATCCTGGTTTCCTATCCTGCTCTCCTGTACTATTTTCCATTCTTGGTTCTAGAATTTTCTCTCAAACCGTCTTCTAGAGTGAACACTAAAGATCGTGTCTTTCCTGTCCCTGTGTGTGCAGTGAAGTCTGCTCTCTGATCGCAAGCAGCCGTGGCTTTCGCGTGTCCTGTAGTTGTGCGAGTTCAGCTTTTGCCTCTGGCTGCCGGAGGTGGACTGCCTCGTGTGCGCTAGGCGTGCCGCCGCGTCGGCCACAATGTGCAATCGAGCTTCCTGTCGTGTGCGCTTGTCTGTGCGTTGGTGTACCTCCCTCATTTCTGTTCTCTTCATCACACGATTCCTGTGCAAGGGAAGCGGAGAGCAGTTGGGTGCAGAGAATGCCAGCTCTTGTTTGAAGTAGATCTTTCTTCTGTTCTGAAAGAATCTTCCTGTTGCTTTTGTTAGTTTTTTAAATACTTGCTAGAGTTTGCAAAAGAAGCGCTTGTTTACCGTTTCTGCCGCCTGGTGAGGTCACTGTGTCGGTTTGCTTGAGCCCAGTGGTGTTGCTTCCCAGGAGCCCCCGCTCGGCCTGTTGTGTGCCACGTGACCCCACCCATTTCTGGGCCATGCCCATTAAGCCACAGCCAGGTCCAGCTCTGGGCAGCCAGTGCCTGGACACGATGGGAGGGCCCATCAAGGCTCTTCTTCTGTGAAGTGCCAACAAGGAAACCGAGAAAGAAGTTTCTAGTTGATGTTGGAAGGAAGAGGAGGCCACCCATTATGTAGTGCAGTCCCCCCGACGCCCACCCTGAGCGGCATGGGCATGAAGATCATGGGCTCCTGGGACCCCGGAGCAGTGTTCATCCCAGCAGTGCTACGGAGGCCTGGCCCAATTACGTTCTTGGCTTCCTGGTGACCACCATCCTGGGTCCACCTGTGCCCCTGCTATAGACCCCCTAGACTTGAGGCAGCTTGATTGGGTCTCCCCTTTTTGCAACCTGTCAAGGGCCAATTGCATTGACAAATTTGCGGCTGCTTTCCCCGTGTTCCTGGCCGAGCCCCACCTGTCGTAAACGCCTGTTGAACGTCGCGCTGTGCTCTGTTTTCTAAGATGGGGGAGAAGCGACACCTCGTCTCCACGAGTTTGCCCAGTGCTTTTCTGTGCGACCCTGTGTTTGCCCCAGGAGATGAGTCCAGTCGCCTCCCACCCTGCTCTGGACGCAGGAAGGCCTCGCTGCTCGCGGCACGTTCGCCGTGGGGCCTTGACCCTCTGTAGCGCTGGTCTGCTGACAGGCTGTGGCGCTCATTGCCTTGGTTTGGGTGTTTCCTCTCGAGGAAAAATGGCCCCTTTGAGCTCTGCCCTCAGTGTTATCTGCCCACCTGAGCGCAGTAGCTGCGTCCAGCCCCAGCAGCCCTCGTGGTGTGGCTGTTGCGTTTTCTCGTTTCGCCCTGACCCCTCAACGTGTCTGTTTTACGCACTTACTATAGCCAGCCTTGCACTGGAGCTTCGCCCGCCCCCACCCGTCAGATTGTGAGCTCTTACGAAGACAGGGGTGCCCCCCGCCCCGTTTGAGTCCCCTCCCGGATCTAGCACAGTGCCTTGCAGCAAGTAGATTTCAATAAATATATGTTCGGTGGCGCTGGTCTTCCTTGGCTACTTCTGTCAGAGCTTCCGCCCCAGGGTCCCCATCCCACTGGGACCAGTGAGGGCCACCCCGCCCCACCCCGCCCCGCCCCGCCCCGCCCCACAGCTGGAGGGAAGAGAAGTGCCCTGGTGAGGGAGGGCTGACTTTTCTGGAAGTTTGAGCCGTCCCTTGGCAAGAGGCCTGTCATTGGGCTACATGCCTTCACCCCAGCTGGGCTTTGCCTGGAGCCTGAATTCCGCGCAGGGGCAGACCAGGCTGCTGTCGCCTGCGAATGGGGTGATATGAGTGTCCAGAGCTGGAGCATCAGCCAGCATCTCAGAGCCGGGGGGCAGGGAGGGTGGTCCTCTTGGTGGTCAGTGGCCAGCTCGCTCCCCAGTGACCGTTTCCTCAAAAGAGGGACAGATCCTTGGCTGCCTGACCCTCCCAGATGCAAATGGGGCTCAACCATGGTGTCAGCTCCCAGGTCCCAGAAGGATAAGCAAGGAGTAAGTCCCAGGAGAGCTTGGGTTGGGCCCTCATGGGCCATGATGTGCCCAACGGGAGGAAGCAACATTCCGGAAAGGAGCATGAGGCTCCCGCCAGCCCTGTCCCCAGCAGGCGCCCCAGCTGGCCCATGTCTTCCCTGCAGGGTCCCAACCTTGTGCTGGGCATTCTCCCGATGCTGCTTCTGGGCAGGTGCTGTGACTGCCCACAAGTATGCGAATGCCTGC